GCGGCGCGCAGGCGGGGGCCTCGGATCGCGCTGCAATGCGCAGCACTGCGCAACGGCCCTTGCGTGCTGTTCAGGGGCCGCGCGCCCCTCCAGGGGTCAGCTCAGGGGCCTGACGCTCAGGTGCCCTGTGCGCGCGCTCCCGACCACCGCATGCTGCGCGCAGCCCACTCTGGAGGCGTTTGGTGCTGTGGCGCCCGGGTTCCTGGCGCTTGCTGCGCCTTTCATGGAGGAGACGCGGCTCAAATGGGAGTTTTTGCAGCAGGTGCGGGACGTACCTATGTGAGGGGTGCGGCGGGGATGCACAAACCCACAGCCAGGTATTCGTGGCGAACATATGTGTGAACGTTGTGTGGCAGCGCAAACGTGTGCGTTCACATGCAGTGTGAGCGCAGGCGAGTGTGTGCATGTGTTTTGTGTGTGTGCATGCGTGTGTGTCTGTGTCAGAGAGGAAGAGACCTTCGTGTATGTGGGTGTGTCTGTGTCTGTGTCTGTGTCTGTGTCTGTGTCTGTGTCTGTTGTTTCAGTGTCAGAGGGCAAGAGATCGTGTGAATGTGTGTGTGTGTGTGTGTGTGTGTGCGCGCGCGCGCGTGTGCGTGTGTGTGTCTCACCAATTCAACGCATATGCTCCGCGCGTCCCACCCTCCTGCCTCCTCTCTAGGCCGGCGTGAAGCACCCCTCCCAGGGCGAGTACCCCTCATTCCCGCCAGAGCTACTGGCAACAGTGCAGCAGCGCAAGCACGAGATCGCAGCGGAGGTCGGCCCTGCGGAACCGCCATCACAGCAGCAGCAGCATCGGGAGCAGCGGCAGCACCAACAGCAGAAACAGCAGCAAGGCCCCGCAACGCCCGCGGCCGCGGCCGCGCCGGCAGCAGCGGTGGAGGAAGAAAAGGGTGACGAGGTGGGGGGCACGCGAGCTGCGAAGGGCGGCGGCCAGCTGCTGTCGGCCGGCGTGCAGACGCAGGCGCACAATGAGCAGCATCAGCAGCATCATCACCGGAATCAACAGCACCAGCAGCAGCACAACGGGCAGCAGGATCAGCAGCAGCAGCAGCAGCAGCAGCAGCAGCAGCAGCAGAAGCTGCCGCCCCAGCAGCAGCAGCAGCAGCGCAGGTCTTTGTTGTGCGCGTGCTGCCTGGGTTACAATTAGTGATAGCACATGGCGCCAAACTCCAGGTCCCGCCGCGTCGCCCGCCGTTGTGCCCCCGCACGCGTGAGCAGGGCGCGCGCCCCAGCACTGGCAGCGTGCGCGGCGAGCCTCCCCGCGCATTCGGCCCCAGCACGTCCCCTTGCTGTACATATGGGCACACCGCATCAGTCATCCCTCAACCGGGTTTTTATAAGGCACGCCCTGCTTCGTCACCCTGATTGTTCAAACTGCCACACGCTGGGGCGCGGCGGTGCTGCCGCCGCTGCCCTCTCCGCCGCGCCGCGCGCCCGTTGCCCCGGCCGGCCGGCGATTGCCGCCCGCCCCCTTAAACCCCCAATGCCCACTGCCTGGCCGCGGGCCCGCGCCGGCCCCCCATCAGGGCGCGCCCGCCTCTTCCCTGCGGCCTCTAGCGTGAGGCCCCACACCTCTATATGACGATTCAGCCATGCAAAACCTATCGCGCTGACACTGACTTGGGTCGCGCTCGGTCGCCATCTGTTTGGGTTGCGGTTGTGATTCAATTGTTGAATGCACGCGCACACGCACGCACGGCTGATCTGTTGCGGGCGCGTGAGGCCCACGAGCGCGGTCCGCGCGGGAGGCCCACCTCCTTCGTCCGCGCCGGGGCCCCCTCCCTCGCGCCGAGCGCACCCACTCGAGCGCGGCGCGGCGCCCCGCTGCCTCTGACCGCGCTCGCCGCTCATCCGCCGCGCTGCAACGACCAGCACGGCCCCGCCGCACAAGGCAAGGCAAGACAAGGCGCCCACGACTCGACACTTCCACCCTTTCGGGACAACCCACCGCGACGGGGGCCGGGCACTCAAGCAGCTGCGCGCGGCGCCCCCAGCGCTATTGGCGCGGCGCGCGGCGGCGCGTGGCCTGGCCCTGCGGCGCACGGCTGGCTGCTGGCGTGCCGTGCATGAGCGCGTGCGCTGTGTCGCGACCCCCATCCTGCGGTCGCCGCTTCGATCCCCTTCTATAGCCGTGCAAGATTGAATTGTAAACCCTCCTGCCCCCAGTCTCGCTGCTCGATGCCAGGCCGCCCCGCCACCCGCGTAAAGCTCTGGCCCTGCGGCGATGCGGGCCGGGGTGCCGGCTTGTCAGCCGTGTGGGGCTCGCGCGCAGCCTCACCATGGGCACTGCCACAGATAGTGGTGGCGTACGGGCCAGCCAGGTTTCAAAGCACTCTTGCTGCTTGCGGACCTGCTTGTCTGTTGCGGTGAGCCGAGCAGTTCCTGGCCCCTGAAGAGGTGGAACAACAGCGACAATCAAGCTTTGACCAGGAGGACGAGAGCGGTCGCGCAGAAGTGTCTGAATGCGGTGTTGAGGTGCACCTCAAGCTGGCGATGCGAGAGGAGACATCAGCCAACGCTGGAGTTGCCAGCACCCTTGGGATCGACCGTTCAAGTCCAAAAGTGACGCTGACCATCCCTTGGCATGCCAACATGCGCTTGAAGACCACAGCGTTGGGGCATCCCGCAGCAATTTTCGTCTCGGCCACTTTGTTTCGCTTTGTTCTTCGCTTTGCTCGTTTGCCGGGCCGTGGGCCGCGGTGTGCACACCGTGCCGGGAAATTCGCAATAACAACCGGCCAGTGCGGGAATCCGCTACGGAAGTCACATCGCATACCGTAGTAACACTCCATCTGTTAGATCGGGGCGCCGAGGCGTGCCGCTCCCGTCCTCAGCCATGGGGAGTACAGAGGCAGCTCTAGAACAGGGAAAGCACAACCATACAGCGCGGGACGCCACCGGTTCTACGCTGTGAGTGTATGGTGGGAGTCTAATGTCCTGCACGGGGTGACATGGTGGCCATTGCGACCGACCAGAGGTCCGCATACACGATAACGCAGCGGCAAGGCACGGATATACCATGATCGAAAGATTCCCGACCCCCCTGTAGCCTCTGCCTGAGGCCTCGCTGCTCGACGCCGCGGCGCCACTCCCGCGCGCGAACCGCTCAGCTGCGGACAGCCGCTTGCGACCTGCGCGCATGCGCGCACGTGGCATATGCACATAAAGACAGAGGGCGGCAGGTCTGCAAAGCTGTCCGTGGAGCTGGGCTGCTCAGGGCATTCTGGACCCAAGAAATTTGATCTGTCTGTACCGCCCCTCAGGCCGCCTTGGGCCCCAACCCCATTTTTGCTCACCACCCCGTGCGCGCAGCTACTTTGGAAACCTGCACCCCTGCGTAACCGTACCTGTGCTGCAGGTGCGTGGCCGCACTGCTGCCGCGCCTGGTGTGGCGGCACTTCGGCCTCACACGCATGGGGCCCACTGCGCCCAGCCGCCCTGCCGCCGCCCCTCCCTGCGCCTGCACCGCATCACACAATTCGTTCTACTTTGCGCCGCAGGACATCTGCGCATACTTTGGTCCTGTGGATCAGGTCAAGATCATCAAGGTGCGGCGCTCAATAGTGCAGCAGCAGCAAATAGTGCAGCAGCGGCAGCAGCAGCGGCAGCGCCAGCGCCAGCAGCGGCGGCAGCAACAACAGCAACAGCAGCAGCAGCAGCGGTGCCTGAGACTGGCTCGGGGCCTGCACGCGTCAACCGCTACGCGGCGCGGCGCGAGCAGCAACGGGCAGCAGGCAAGGTGCGGCGGCGGCGGCGGCGGCGGCGGCGGAGCCGGTGGAGCGTCACAGCAACTGTGGCGCAGGGTCAGCTGCAGGGGGGGCTGGCCAGCTGGCGGGGTGGCCGGCTTTGGCGGGTCGGCCGCGGCATGCGCCGCCACGAGCACCTGGAGCTGCGCCACCGCAGCGGCAACCTCCGCATGCAGCCGTGGCCAGCAGCCCAGCCCACGGTCGCGGCGCAGCCCTGGCGCCGGGCATAGGCTGCGGGGCCGAAGCAGCGCCACGGAGTGTCCTGCCTTTCACCGGGCACGAGCTGCGGGCCTGGAAGCCTCCACATCATTCCCCCGGCCCTGACACGCCTGACACGCGCGCACGCGCATCCGCCCCCCCCCCCCCCCCAGGACAAGGGCACGGGCATGGGCGCTGGCTACGGTTTTGTGAGGTTCAGCGACCGCAGCTGCGCCGCCGTGGCGCTGCAGCAGCTCAGCGTGAGTGGGCGCGCGGCGACGCGCCGACTGCAGGCTTCCCAACCTGCTGGGCGCCCGCAGCTGCTGCAGACCCACCTGGCTACAGGCTGGCATGGCGGCTGTCAACGGGGGCGCGCGGCCTCCGATCGTGGGAGGGCTGCCCAGTGCTGCCCTTCCTCCTGACATTAGGCCCCCTTCCCCGCGGCATCCCCCCCCCCACCCCCACACCCCACACCCACTCACATTCACACACATAACACGCACACACGCATGCACGCGCACTTGCACATCACATGCTTGACACGCACAACAAATGCACATCAAACACATGCAGAACAAGGTGCTGTTTGGGCAGGAGATGCGTGTCAACTGGGCCTTCCAGAGCCACCAGCAGGAGGACACCTCAGACCACTGGCACATCTTCGTGGGAGACCTCGGCCAGGTGCGGGCGCCACCAGCTGCGCGGCCGCCGTCGCGTCGCGCGCAGCCGCGCGACGCGTGTAACCCCCGCGCTCCCCGCTCACGAACGCATGCAAATGCGGCGCCCCTCCCGATCGCCCCCCGCGGCACGCCCCCTGCGCCGCTGGACCCCAGCACTACTCTCCACCGCTTA